GAATTGACTGTATCACACTCCAGTTCTCATTAATGGAAGACATACTGATCCAAAGGGGAATAATTAAAAAGTATAATGGTTGATCTTTTGAACAGGTGGGATTTAACATAATTCAAAACCAAGAATTGATGGGTGAAAACAGTGGCATATTGAGACAGAGACCCAAGTTTCTCAACATCAGCACTATTGACTCTTGGGGCCAGATGATTCGATCTTAGGTGGAGGGAGGGGGCTGTGCGCATCCCTTGCCTCTGCTTACAAGAGACGCCAGTTGTACCCTCCTTCCCTGAGGGGTGATAACCAAAAATGTCTTCGGACATTACAAAATGTCCCTTCAGAAGCAAAACTCACACCCTAGGTTGAGAACCACTGCTGAAGATGGAGGTATAAATTTATACAACTTTTCCAGAAGCAACCTGGTAATAAGCATTAGAAACTCTAAAAAATGTTTATATATTTTTATCCAGAAATCTTACTTCGAGGAAAAAAATCAGAAATATAGAGATGCACGCACATCAATAAAAAATGACAACCTCCTTTAAAACTGGGCAAATGACCTAAGTATTTGTTTATTCAAAGAAGATAGAGAAATGTCCAATAAGCGCCTGAAAAGAGGCTCCACATCACTGGACGCCATCAAAATGGAAGTCGAAACCACAATGAGATGCCACTTCACATCCAGTAGGATGGCAACGATCAAAAAGATAGATAAGAGCAAGTGTCGGTGAGAATGTGGAGAATTGGGAACCCTCATGCATGCTGGGGGTGATGTAAAATTGGTGTAGCCACTGTGGGAAACAGCTTGGCAGTTCCTCAAAAGTTTAGACACAGAGTTACCATACAACCAAGCAATTCCACTCCTAGGTTTAGACCCAAGAGAGGTGAAAACATACGTGCACCCAAAACTTGTACACGAATGTTCATAGCAGGATTATTTATGATAGCCAAAAAATGGAAACAACCTAAATGTCCATCAGCTAATGAACTGATAATATGGCCTATCCATCCAATAGAATATTATTCAGCAATAAAAAAGAAGGAAGTGCTTACCCATGCTACAACATGGATGAACCTAGAAAACATTATGCTGAGTGAAAGAAGCCAATAACAAAAATCCACATATTATATGATTCCAGTTTTATTAAAAGTCCAGAATAGGCAAATCCATAGGCTAGTGGTTGCCTGGAGCTCAGGAAGGGAATGTAGAATGGAGACTAATTGTCAGTGGGTATGAGGTTCCTATGTGGGGATGTTTGCACAACTCTGGATATAATAAGAGTAATCGAAGTGCCCATTTTAAGTGGTTGAATTGTATAGGACATGAATTAATGAAACCATTATAAAAATACTGAAAACAACAACAAAATGATGAACATGCAAGGATGTAGGTTGTTATAAGATGTGTTATTTATAAGATTTTAAAAATCAGAAAATACCTAAATGCAAAGCAAAAGGTATGGTATGCTAAATTACATTCAGTCATATGAATAAGTATTAAGTAACCATCATAATCATCTTTTGAAAACATATTAACACAAGGATAACTCATGCTGCAATATTACGGGAAAAGATAAAATGTAAAATCTGCATTTAGACACACACACCCCCTCTCTCAAGCAGAAATTTATAGAAGAAAATCTGCAATCAATGAAGACTGGTTAATATTGGTTGGTGGGATAAATGGTGATATTTGTTTTCTTCTCTCTTCTATAATTATTTTTTCTACTGCATATATGTGTATAATCAATAAAATTATTTTTTAAAGATTGAGAAAGTTTATTTCCAAACTTACTTGAAATGTAAAAACTGAGTAGAAAATTAAAGACGATGCAGTCAAACATTTTAATCTTACTGATGAAGTTACCAGATTGTCAACGATCTTGTCAGGGTATGTGAAACTCAAACAATTCCATCCCTCTTCTCTCCTTTTCTTTCTTTCTTGATGACCCACCTACACACACTCAAAGGTAGCTAAAAAAAAAAAAAAAAAAAAAAAAAA